CACTGGGGAGGTCTGGAAGTAGCATTAAGCAGACTCAATGTGTCCAGGATGGAATGATATCGAAGTTGCCACATGAAGGCTATATCAGGATTAGCACGGGGCAGGGGGATGTAGGAGATGGGGGTGCCGGAAGAGTGTCTCAGCAGAGGAGACAGGAAGTGTGGTGAGGAGGCAGAGTCCATTTGAGGGACAGGAAGGGAGGGGAGCCAGAAAGAAGGCGGGAGAGAAAACGCTGGAGGGCTGAACTGGGGCCACCATGCAGACCTCAAGTCCCATGACAGGGAGATTGGACCCAAGGAGTGGTGGGAGACTTTAAAGGGTTTTAACCTACAATTGATGACACATTGCCATATGGTTCCTCTAGGCCAAGAGAATGGGGTGGTTTGGGGGCACACTAGTTAGGAGACCAGTGGAGATCCCAGGCAAGAAATGGTGCCAGCTCAGGGAACCAGCAGTAGGGACAGAAAGCAGGGCAGATGTGAGCAATCTTAGGGAGTGGAATGAGGAAGACTTGGTGGGTGGTGGTGACTCCAGCGGCTGGAGGGTAGCCAAGGGGTCCCAGCTTGGACATTCAGAAGGTGGTAGCATCTTTCCCCTGAAATCAAGGACCCTGGAGGGGGACAGGGTTGGTGCTGGGCCCCTGATACTGGCTGACATCCCCCTTCCCACCCATCTGCTTCTCCCCCAGCAGCATGAGTCCCTGGAGAAACACAACCATGCCCTGCGGAAGGAGATCCAGGCCCTGCAGTCCGAGCTGGTGTGGTGGAGCCGGACCCTGCATGTGCATGAGCGCCTGTGCCCCATGGACCATGCCTCCTGCTTGGCTCCCATGCCCCCTGGCAGCTGGGGCCAGGCTGAGCAGCCTCTGGGCCCTGTACCTAAAGGACAACATGGCTGCCAGGGGCAGTCAGGCCTGTTCCAGGCCCCAGTCTCCTCTCCCCCAGCTCAACAACGCTCTCCAGGTCCTCCACCTCATGATTCTCCCAGCCTCCTTCCATTCCCTCCGCTTTCGCTGTCCCTTGGCCCCGCTGTGGTGACTACACTGCCTGCGCAGCTGTCCCCCAGCTCGGTCCTGTCTGCGTCACCCACAGACTGCAGCCTGCTGCGGTCTTCCTCTAAGCTCAGTGCCCTCCTGCCCAGCCCCCCAGCCCAACCTGCCCCTCCACAGCCCCTTGGGCTGGAGCACCCCACCGGGGGGAAGCTGGAGTCCTCTGTCCACAACCCTTCAACTGCTTTGGGGCATGCATGTCTGCAGAGCAGGGAGCACAAACCTGCTTTCTCAGCAGCAGATTGGCAAGGACTGGATGTAGATTTCAGCCCCCACCCTCTCCTGGCCTTCCCTCTGCTCTCCTCTGCTCAAGTTCATCTCTAATCTCATCCCTGGAGCTGGGCTGGCCCCTTCCTTGGGCTCAGGAGGCAGCTGCAGCACACAAGCATCTCCTCCATTGCTACTGGGGGCTTTCCTTCTTGGCTGACCAGCTGGCCCAGGATTTCACCAGGGAAAAGAAAGCCATCACTGAGTGCCTACCACTGTAGCAGGGCTTGTCACTGCCACTATATTATTTCAACCTCACAGTCACCCTGCAAAATCAAGATTATCACTCTGCTTTTCCAGAAAAAGAAACAGAAGCTCAGAGAAGCCAAGTGATATGTCTGAGGTCACACAGCTTTTCTTGAAACACCACCATCTGCTTCTCCCATCTGCTGGTGAGATCTGGTCCAGGTGCCTTAGGGGCTGAAGTCCTGCAAATAGGGCTGCTGTGCAGAGGTTTGGTGCTAGGAGCAGAGAGGGGCTCTCCCCTCTGCTTTATGATTCCTGGAGCCAGAGCCCTGCAGTCCTAGAAACCCCACCCTGGCTGGGACCTGCCTGTGTAGAGTCCAAGCCTTTGGGGAAGGCCAAGCAAAAGCCCAGGAGTAGACTCTTTATTCCCCTAGTTGTGTTTTCAGTACCAAGAAATGGAACCTGTGGGTTGGAGTTAGGGAGAGGCCCGGACCAGGCCCCTCTGAGATTTCTGCAGGCTGGGCACCCATAGCCATACCAAGACCTTGTGGAGATTCCACAGGCTCAGTTCTCCAGGCTGTTTCAAAATAGCTTTCTGCTCCCCTGACTCCCAAGGCTGTGGCGGATGTACTTCTGAGAGCCATTTCCGAAGGCCCTCTACCCGAGGCCAATTACACATGGTTCACGGATGGATCCCCATTCAGAATTGGGTATAAACATTATGCAGGCTATGCTGTGGTTTCTTTAGACTCAATTGTAGAAGCCCAGCCATTACCATCCGGTACCACTAACCAGCAGGCTGAACTCATTGCGGCCACTCGGGTCTGTATACTTGCAGAAGGTAAATCCCTTAACCTATACACAGATTCCAAATATGTTTTCCACATACTCATATCCCATGCAGCAATTTGGAAAGAAAGGGGATTACTCAATACAAAAGGCAATGCCATAACTAATTCTGTCTTAATAGACAAGCTCCTTGAAGCCTCTC